GACACGCTCTCTGATGACAATGCGATGGAGCAGGGAATCAGCAGCAGCACCGTATCGAGAAAACCCCTCAAGTAAGTGGCCACTAAATAGCACTTGACAGTAGCTCCCAGGTCAAGGAGCAAGCCGAAAGGGAAATCCGCATACTTTGAAAGGAAAGAAAAATGAAAATAAAACATCTCAAAATTTGTAGCACAAAGGTAACTGTTCAGGAAAAGAGAAGTCCTTAAGTCAGTTCCCACGGCTTCTACCTTAAGAAACTAGAGAAAGGAGCAAGTGAATCCCAAAGTGAGAAGAAGATGGGAAATGAAAAAAGATGAGAGGAGACATCAATGAAACAGATGATGGAGAACATCCACGGGGAGGTCAGCCAGGCTGACGGGCGTCAGCCAGATCGCGGGACGGCACCGTCGTGAATGTCAGGCCTGGGGGCGGTGGCGCCACTCCGACTCTGCGGCTGCTGAAGGGCTGACTGGCGCGCATGCTGAGCACCTTTATGCCAGCAAATTCAACAGGTTAGAGAAACGGAAAAATTCCTTGAAAGGCAGAAGCCAGTGAAACCCTCTTATGCATTGTGGAAATGTTACAGACATTGTCACAAATAAAACTCTAGGCCAGCAAGACTTCATTGTTCTACCAAACACGTAAAGAAGAAATGCTGTCAGCTCTACACAGACTTTTTAAGAAAATTGAGAATGAGGGGCTACTTCCTAGCTCTGAGACCAGCATCACCCTGATACCAAAACCATGCAGACACACGTGAAAACTGTAGACCAATCTCCCTCACGAACATAGATGCATACATTTTTAACAAAATTTTAGCCAATCAAATGTAACAATAATAAAAAGGATAATACGTCATCACTTCTTAAAAAAATCGATGAATATAATTCACCATATATACATACTGAAAATGAAAATTCGTATGGTCATCGCAATGTATGCAACAAAAGCATATGACAGAACTCAGTGTTCATTCCTGATAAAATCTTCTCAGCAAATGAGACACGAAAGGGGATTTTCTCATCGTAATAAAAAGCATCTCTGAAAACCCTGCAGATAACATCATACTTAATAGTGAAAGGTTGAATGCTTTTTACTTGTGATCAGAACAAGGCAAGGATGTCCTCTCTCACCACTTCTATTCAACATTGTTCTGGTGATTTTTAAACAATAAAGAACATTCAGATTGGAAAGGAAAAAGTAAAACTCTCTGTTAACAGATGATGTGACTGTCTATACAGAAATTTTTATGGAATCTATTATAAAAAAGCTATTAGAACTAATAAGTGGATTTTGCAAGGTTGCAGGATACAAGACCAATATATAAAACTCCACTGCACTTCTACATACTAGCAATGAGTAATTGGAAATTGACTTAAAAACCAGTGCCATTTTTACACAGTAGAATCAAAAATATGAAATGCTTTGGGATGTGTCCTCTATGCAGTAAACTAGAAAACACTGCTGAGAAAAATTAAAGAGTACTGTCATAAATGGAGCGAGAGGCTGTGTTCATAGAAGACAGTACTGCTAAGATGTCCATTCTCCCCAAGTTGATGTTTAGATTCAACACAGTCTCAGTCAAAGTGCCAGCATGCTTTTTCTTTTGTAGAAATTGAAATGCTGGTCTAAAATTTAGGTAGGAATTCAAAGGACTTAGAATAGCCGAAACAGCTTTGAAAGAGAACAGAATTGGAGCGCTGACTGCCCAACTTGGAGTTTAAGGCCCTCGTAGCTGAGACTGCGGTAACAGCACAGAGATAGACATATAGATCAACTAAATAGAACAGAGTGTCCAGGAATGTATCATTATAACATATTGTCATTTTACTTTTAACCAAGGTGCAAAGGCAATTTGGTGGAAAAAGGCTATTTTCAACAAATGGTATTGGAGCAATCGTAGGCAAAAAATGAACTTCAGTTCATATCTGGCACTGTATACAAAAAGTGATTCAAAAAGACCATAGACCTAAATGTAAATCCTTAAACTGTAACACTTACAGAGGGAAACATAGGAGAAAGTCTTTGACACTGGGCTCGACTGTAACTTGGGTAAGACAATTATGCTGCAAGCATGCTAAGGCATGATCCATAAAGAAAACGTTGGTCGATTGCACTTCATCAGCATGAAGGAATTTTGTTCTTTGAAAAGTACTGTTAAGAGAATGCAGAGACAGTCCACAGAGTGGGAGGAAGTGTCTGCAAATCCTATACCAGATAAGGGACTTGTAGTCAAAGTATTTAAAGACCTTGCCAAACTCAGGACACAAACAGACAACCCAATGACAATGGACACCAGATTTGAAGAGACATTTTAGCAGAGAAGATATAGATGGATGGCAAATAAGTTCATGAAAAGATGTTCACATCATTATTCATTGGGGAAACGCAAATTAAAACAGTAGTGAGAGACCACTGTACACCTGTTGGAATGGCTGAAACTAAGAACACTGCCCATACCATTTTTTTGGTCAAAATGCAGATGAAATTTGAACCCTGCTGGTGGGAATGTAAAATTATACACTCAACTTTGGAAAACATTTTGACATTTTCTTAAAATGTTAACTGTACACCTGCTGTCTGTCCCAGACATTGCATGTCCACGTACTTCCCACAGAGAAACGAAAGCCTGTGTCCGTACGAAGACTTGTATGTGTTTATATAACAGCTTTAGTTGTGAGAGCCACAACCCAGACAGCAGTTTGCAGGTGGATGGATGCTGTGTAGTAACTGTACTGAATCTGATACAAAGGGACAGACTATTGATACTGTCAGTGTTGAAAAAAATCTCAAAATAATTGTGCCACGGGACAGACTCCAGACAAAAACAAGGTTACATACTACACATTACCATTTTTAGAAAGTTTTGGAAAACACAGTCTTTTCTAAGGTTCACAATCTGGTGGGTGGAGTATGGGTTGGGGTGGGGAGTGGCAGGAGGCTGTGATTATAAAATGGCATGAGGAAACGTGGGGGTGATGGATACATTCATTATCTTGGTTATGGTGACATAACTGCCCAGTTTTATGAAATTGTACACTTTGTAGTTTATATCAATTGTAACTCAATAAATTTGCTACAAATTAGTATTTTTACTTTTTATGTACATCATGATTTTCTGCAAAGTGATCGTGGGTGCTCAGAAAGTAGGATAGTTTGGTACAGAAACTACTTAGCGCTGTGTGTTAGCCTCTGGGCATACGACTGTTACTGAAAGCAGAAAATCATAAAGTGCTCATTTTGTTACAGGCGTGCTGACTGTTGTTCATGCCTTATTGCGCCTAGTTCTCCGCACCACCTGCGGACGTGATGCTCAGCCTCGCTGCACAGGTGAAGAAGCTGTGACTTGGAAGGGCTGTCACGTGCAAGTGCAGACGGGGCTTGAGCCCAGGCCTGTCTGAAACTCCAGTGTGTGCGTTTGGCCACCATCCTGTGTGCTCTTCTTAGTTATTAACACAGTACAGCAACTGGCCATAATTACAACCCCTGTGAATGAAGAAGAGGGTTAAGATCTTAAGCATTTTTTTTTTCAGGACTGGAAAGTGGAAAAGTATTTTAGAACAGTTTTTATTTTTAAAATTGCAAATTTAAGTTCTTCTTAAGACATTGTTTTCTGAAACATTTTGTAGAACATTTTATTTCCTGCTAAGGTAAATATATACTCTAAAATTCGTTCATTCTATCTAGATTCTTGAGTAAGGAACTTGTAAATTGATTTTTAATTATATCACCCTACCTACTAAAGGAAGTAAATCTCTTTAGGTAACCTGTACAGGTGCTGAATTCTTTCTTTTTATTTGTTTGTATTCCATGCTGTTCCAAAAAGGATTTAGGGCACTTATGAAACATGTATGTTAATTTGTAACCAACACAACTGTAAACTAGTTGACTTTGGTTCCCAGACAGCTCAGTGTATAGTCTCATAGGTCTGGAGTGGAAGCTGTGAGGACAGAGGTTTGCCTGAAACAGAGAGCTTTGTAAATAAGGGTTTTGAAAGAACAGCAGTTACCTCTTTGCAAAAACATTGGGTTATAATTGCATGTAGTCCATTGAACTTATGCTTAGCATAATTTTTATCTTTGATTCTTGATCTTACAAATTTTAATGAAGGTTATAGCCATCAGTTTTAAAGTTGACTATTTTACGTATAAAGAGTGAGAGGTTGGGTCAAATATTATTCCAGTGACATACCTGAAGTTCTGTCTTTTAAAAAATCTAGTATTATCATCTAAGTTGCTTTTTATTGTGATTTCATGAGAGCAGAATGTGCCAGAAAGGGAAAAGGTGATGTGAGCTTGCCTGCCCCTTTTACTTTTTCTTTCCCACTTGGAATCGCTTACTAAAACTTCTGTGATGTCGTGGTTTTAAAAAATCCCCGGAGTTAGTGCAGCTCCTTGTAGGCTCTGCAGCCTCGGCAGGTTTTGCGTAGCCAGCCTCTGCCGCGTCGGGGGTTGCCGTGAGGAGCAGATGAGTTTGTGTAATAATCTGTAAATCACATAGAATAGTGCTCAACGTAAGGGCTCAATAAATGCTAATTATTACTTTTAGGGTTTTTATGAGGCTTAAATTAAACAAGGTTGTACATGTAGAATGTTCAGTAGAGTATCTGGCATTTATTAAGTGCTCAATAAATGCTAGTGGCTCTAATTTGAATATTCAGGTGCCAATATGTCTGAAGAGGCTGTGTCTTTGCATCTTTGCATGTGTCGTATCTTTAGTGAATGCATTTTAGGGCTTGAGGAAAAATCGTTAGTTTTTGTGTTGACTTTTCCCAATAGGTACAAGTTACAAAGCTATAAACAGTTTGGAGAAATATGTAATCATTTTTCTGGTTTCTAAGTTTAAGTCATTTGTTAGGCCTCCCTCTCCAAGTTTATGTTTATTTTCACTGTTAAAAAGTACAGAACTTTGACTAGTGTCACAGGCTAGCTCTGTGATTCTCTTTGGCAGGACTTGTCAGTGTCTAACTCATCTTTCTTCCGTTGTTCTCCGCCCTGCAGGTTTGTGGAACCTTGCTTCTCTCTTTTCCAATCTTTGTTTATTTGTGTTGATGCCCTTTGCCTTTTTCTTTCTGGAATCAGAAGGTTTTGCTGGCCTAAAAAAGGTAAGTGAATTGTGTTTTAGAATTAAATGTACTAAATGAAGAAGTAAATATCAGTCTTGCTGAGCTAGGAAAACGAGGCTTCAATAGCCATTTTACTGGATTGTAAAAAGTTTACTAATAACCTCTTGTTAATATTAATAATGTTTTTACAATACTACTGATAGTGTCACATATTAAGTTGTTTCACATGTCCACAGGGAGGAAGTCGTCTTTTGACCTTTGAGTGCTTTGGTAGTAGGTGCAAAGTTGGTGGGGTACTCTTTTGTTGAATGAACGAGCCTGATACAATAGCTATTACTCCTTTCTTAGGCTGTCTCATTTAGTGTAAAGCATGACGGGAACTTCTAAAAACCTTAAAATGTATCTTGTTGTGAAAGTGTTTCACATCCAGTGTTTTCGGGAGAGTGGCATGTTACAATGCTCCCCCGGATAGGCAGATCCCCAGGGTACTGTGACTTACTGCTGTTAGGTGAATGTGGGAGTGTCAGAGGTGGGCAAAACAGGAGACTGCAAGAGCAGCCTAAACGGTCGGTCCAGACGTTCCAAATGCTAGTAACTGTCTGTCCTTGAGCATAACGACTTAAAGTGAAGGGAACAGCATTTCTGTTTACAGCTTGCTGAGCTCTTTGCTATAAAAGCTTGGAATATACTGCATGGATTTCAGTGACTTTTTGGGTGACTTTTGAGCATGACAAAATGAGTTCTAGTGTTGCGTTTTATAGGCATTGTTCGCCTTTTAATTTTTAGGAGGCTTATTCATACTCACGCGGTGACGCGTGGAGTGAGGGTGTGCCCGTGCGTCTTGTCAGGTAATACGCCAGCTAAGTAGAGCGGCACGGGAAGCTTTCAGCTGTGTGTGATCCTTACTGCGGTTTCTCACGTAACCTCTTGTGCTTCTTAGGGATGCAGTTGTTGTGGTGTAACATTTCGATAGTTCTTCTGACTTGAAGCCTCAGGTATAGCGCGTTTTTGATCTGTACATTGAAGGGTGCCGTGAAGAATCACTGAGAGGTGACACGTGCGTTGTTTTAGTGGGCTCATTTTTCTGTTTTCCATGTATTCTTCCATGCTTTAACAGTCTGCTGCTGGGAACTAACAGTTGGTTTCGTATTTAGTCTCATGCACTAAATTATTTGTTGTATTTGGCGGTCAAACCGGCATTGAGAAAACTGGCTTTCCTATATTTGTTTTTTCTAATGGTGTTTTTAAACTATTTAAGTTACCCATGTAATGTGAAAGAATTATATAGTTTCCGTTTAAAAAGCTGTGTGTTCATAATTTCTTGGATAATTATAGGAAGTTTTATTGCTGAAAGGGATTTAGTTCAAACCCTCCTTTTATAAGGAGGAAACTGAGGTCCAAAGATATTAAGTGTTATTAAATTGTCTAAAAACCACATATGCACAATTGCAGAACCAGGACTGAGACCCAGGGGTTGCTTCTAACCTCCCCAAAGCATGCATGCTTTTTGCATGCCAGCACTGTGCAGAGCACAGCTAAAGCCAACAAGGCAGGTGACGTGGCCAGGACAAATGAGGTGAAGGAGCAGAGGGGATCGTGGCACGCTGGCGGAGGGAGGAGCCGGGAAGGGTTCTGAGTGGGTGTGCCAGGCGGTGGGAGAGCAAAGGGACAGCGGTCTGCAGGCTGACAGCCCAAGCTCTCAGAGAGCAGGGTGGGAGCATGACACACAGCCAGGCTGAGCTCATCGGAGCACTTGAGAAAGCAGTTTCTGTAGAATTTTGGAGACTTTTGATGAGTATTCATTCATTTGACAGAGTTTCACCAAGCATTTCCTAAGTGGTAGTTGTCATGCTATTATAGGAGCTTGCTGGGGACAGAAATGAAAAGACACCACTTGCACTCAGGGGATGAGCAGAGGAAGAAGTCAGAAACGCAGACAGAACCCCTGTGGCGGGTGGACTTCTGTGCAGCGAGCCGCGCCGGGAGGGGTGCCGAGCTTGGCCTGGGGAGCCCGGGGAGGCTTCCCGGGGGGAGTTAGCCTGCTCTTGCGCCGGGACTCGAGGGTGAGCTCCCAGGCCCGAGCACAGGCCAGGGTTCCGGCTGAACTGACGGAGCGGCTGGTACTCAGCTGCAGAACAGAGAACGACGAGAGGTGGCTCGTCAGGGTCACATCCTGGAGGCCTGAGTCTCTACCGGACGGTGGACAGCAGGGAATCGGCAAAGGATTTTTGATAAGAATTTTTGCACCCACTTTTATTTAGGCAAATTTAGAGATAAATACACATGTCAGAATTTCAGCACGTCACGAGGGGAGGGAGCACGTGCACCACACAGTGCAAGACTGGTTTAGAGACATCACCACGCTGGCTCAGCCACGCACCCGGCTCTGCTAAACCGAGCGCTTCAGTGTGTGTCCCTGCAGTTGCCGTGTTGGGGTTTGCTTTAATAAATACGCAGTTCGCCCTTCCCTGCCTCTGCCTCGTGCGATCTTATCGAGCGGAAATGACCAGCGAAGCTCAGTGTTAAATACATTTTCATGTTCGGTATCAAAGGTATGCTGCTTAGTTACACGTTCTGTGAAAACCTACTTACTAGTTAGATTATTTTCAAAAGCAGTGTGCAATGTGGACACACCCCTTGCCTTCAGATTATTTTCCTCCCTTCTTGTGAACTAACCAGCGAGAAAAGGGGCCTGGCCAAATCTGGAGCAGAGTTAGCACCCACCTCTAGAATTAACCCTGGTCATGTGTCGCTGTTCTCCGGTGTCCCTTACAGACTGCGGTCAAAGCAGGGAGTCAGCCTGGGGGTGGGGGGACACAAGAAGGTAAGAGAAGCTGTTTTGCACATACAGCTGTACAGGAGTTCTGCCCTCTAATTTTTTACTTCTAGTCTCTTTATACAAGATTAAAAGAATGCCTTTTCTAAGCGCATCTCTCTGTCTCCTCAAAATCTGTCAATGTCACCAGCTACACTTCATGATCTCAAAGGGGACTGACATGTTGAGTGATTGTAGGGTGTAGTCGATGTGACCATTCCAGTTAATTCCCAGACACAGCAAAGAGGCTAAAAAGTGGGGGAGAAGGCACGGCTCAGGATGGTTACCGTTTAGTAGACTTGGGCAGCTGGGGAATGAAAGGAGTTGTAGAAACCAGATTCAAGTGTTTGGTTTTTAACGCTCTCAAAGGAAGGAGGGAGACAGGTCGTGGCTCGGAGGAGACGAGATAGGATGGTTCTGCTGTTAGTGTGCTGATGGGGAGGGGCCGGGGGAGAGAGTGCAGGTACTAAGGTGAGAAAATTTACCTTTGGTGCCAGACTGCCTGGGCTGGTTATGTCAGCTAGACCACAGGTTTTCTTTCTGTACAATGGGTGTAGTCATGATCGTGACCCTACTGTTCAATTTGGAGGATTGAATGAGGGGTGATTATTCAGGCCAGGCGCATAGGCCGGGTTTAGCTCAGCCTGTGTCAGCTGTCAGCACCTCGGTCCTAGAGCTTGGTGCATCTGGCTGGTAGGTCTTCTGGAGGACGTCCGAGTGACGTGGATGGAGCATTAGGAAGCAGCAAAGTGCAGCAGAGTCAGCTCTTGATTACTCACGTATTGTTGTTATCTTTGGCAACTTTAAGATTCCAGGTGACTTTCCCCATTTTGAAATGGCATGTAGTGAAGGAGAATTGAAACTGCCTGAAGAGAAGGTACGTCTAGACCCTGGGAGAAGTGTTTAGAGAGCTTTAAAGTTGGGGAATCGTGGCATGTTGTTTTATAATACTCACATTTTTCAGTTTTAAAATCAATTACTTGGAAGTTGCAAGGGTTATTGTTAATGTTCTACATTTAAGTCTAAATGTGTAAAGTGTATGTCTGAGCCTTTCAGCGTTGTGCCTTCCTGTTGGGTCAGACCACTCGGTAGCACTTGCACAGGTTCCGAACAGCACTGGGGCAGATCTGGGCTGCTGGCCGCCTCGCTGTCAGGAACTCTGCTGCTCTGCCGGGGCGAGCGGCCTGCTGACGTCTGCAGCGCGCTTGCTGGCAAGCGTGTGTACTTGTGTGTATCCTTTAAAGCCCGTTGCTCACTGGTTACGTCTGACACATCTGCTTCCAAGGGGACACTGAGGACAGCTTAGAAAACACTTCTAGTTGGTAGATTCAGCGCAGTGACTTGCATAACGACGAGCTTGTAACGCAGTGAAGTTAAACGTCCTTTCCCCTTCGGCCGCCCTCCTGGCGCTGTTTTACTGCGGCTGCGTCTGGTGGGCCCCTGACTAGCGTGCGGCCCCGCCAAGCCCCCACTGACTCCCCTGGGCAGTCAGTTTTAAAGCAGCCCCTTGCACACTGTGCCGGGACGCGGAAATTGGCCACTAGCCACGGCGGATGCAGAGCTTGAATTGAAAATCAAATTAAACAGAATTCTCTACTTAGTTTTTAATTAAACCACTATGTTAATTCAAACAGGACATTTCAGGCCTGGGGGGTTGACCATGTCCTTTCAAGGGCCTTAAGTCTCCTTTCTTCTCTGTGCTTACCGTGGTGTGTGTTTCTTTTTCACTAGGACCGTCTCCTCGCCATTCCCATTCTTTATAATTTCTTCAGAGTAAGAGAGTGTAAGTGGTCTTGGTAAAGCAAGTTTTTTCTGGTTTTTTTTTTGGTAAGAAGGTAACTTTTATCTTGGCATTCTGACTTACATTCACAGTTAAATATTTCTCTCATTTAGATTATTTCACTATTACCTACCTATATTGTATCAAGCATTACATGTTCATGTGTGTTTGAACCTGACACCATGCTTGCATCTTGTTTCAGCTCTGATAAAGAGGTTGCATCTGCTGGGTTTTGGTTGTGTTTTGCGGTAGAGATGTTTCCTCCACAGTTTTTATCTGGGTCGCTCAGTCATACACCAGAGGACAAGGGTCCGGGGATTGACAGCACTCTGTTCCTGCTACATCTCAGATCAGTGGTGCGAGTTTCTCTCCCTACTCTGCCTCACAGAGACATCTAGATTATCTGGGGTGATGTCAGAAGATGGTTTTCAGTTGCATAATGAA